TATGTGATCATTATTAGTTAAGGAGCTGGGGACTGAAAAAGCCCCGAGCGGTGTATGTAATTCAGGGCTGTGGAGGAGGAAAGGCTTGACTCCCTCTGGCCTGGCACATGTGCCAACAGATGCAGTGCACAGCGCTGTGATGGAGGGAGATCTGTAACACAGAAATGCAAATGGATAAGTAATAAATGAGGTGGAAGGGAAGGTCACAGATGCTGAAGGTAATCTGGATTTTTTGCAAGGATTCTCTAAGGAGTGGAACGATACCATGTTTTTACATCTCTGTTTTGCTTTCCAACTTCCTTATCAAACTACATTCATGGGAAAGTAGAACTCTGTGCTTGTGAAAGGGGCAGGACTGTGGCTTAAGCCTCAGAGGCTCAGCCCAGACTCCTGAATGCATAAATCTGTGCCTTAATGTGTCTGTAAAGCGTGTCCTTAGGAGCATTTAACTCTCGTAGTTTTCTGGCTGTCACTCTGAAGCCCCTGGTGATGGCTTTGTCATGCCAGCACTCGTTCCCTCGGCACAGCAGCGCAGTCCACCAAACGTCCTTCATCGCGCGTTGTCCTGTCACAGCCAGGTACAAATTGCTGCAGCCATTATCAGTCAGGCTCTGTAAAAAACACAGGCTCAAGGTGAAAGGCTTGGCTGGACTTTCAAAGGCAGAAGCTTGAACTTGGAACTGTGCTCTTGGCACGCTCTGATGCTTTTATTTTTCTCTAGATGGAGAGCAACAGCACACCAGAACCAAAGGAAAACTGGGAAGAGAATTGCCATCAGAATGGCCTTTCTCTCCCTTTGCCGGAGGAGGGGGAAAACCTCTCCCATTCATTGGAAGCAGAACACAGGTGAGTAAATGGCAAAATAAAGTCTCTAAAGTAAGGGAGGCTGAGTCCTTGGGCTGGCTGAGGAGAAGGAAATTATTTCAAAGAAAACTCTGTTTTTGGGAAGCAGCAGTAGCTTTGTGTGTGTGGAGCAGGAGGTGTGTGGGCTTTGTAACTAGTGCTGGACTGGGCGGGGTCTTATTGAAAGTAAAACAAGACACCAGTGTCAGGTGAGCCAAGGCTTTACCAAGGTCTGTAATTAAATTCCAGTGCTGCTCTAGTGCCACATCCCCATGTCCTAATGCTGCCTAGATATTTACTTGCCCACACTGGGAGTCAGCATGAACCTGGTGTGATTCTCGTTAATTTACAAGCAGGTGTCCTGAATGGAATGGTTTGAGGACACACACACCACACTTTGTTTGCATTTGGAATACTCCTGTGCTGCTTTACATGCTGCAGAAGTGGAGGAGAGCTAAGAAAATATTTGCCTGGTATCTCAGTCTGTATCTCACGTCAGTGAGTAAGCACTGTGAGCATCTGGTGCAAGAGGATAGTGAGGTTTAGGGAGATCCTGAGCTGTGATACTGGTTTGGTTGCCTCATGTCCTCCTTCAGTGTCCTTGGGCTGGAATTTGAAATCCCTGCCTTCCGCCAGGCTGGTTATGTACCCATTGTACAGGGCTGCTGATGGTTAAATATTTGTAAAAGACGTTGAAAAATGTTGGGTAAACACAAAAGATTGTTGAAATGGTCTCTGATAGAGAAGATTCCCTGGTGAATTCAGGGTGATTTAGTACAAAACCTGGTGCTTCACAGACAAAGGGTTCTCTCCTTCGCCACTGTTCCCTTGCTTAAGTTCCCACGCCCCTTTTATTTTCTCCACAATCAGGTTATTGAAAGAAATGGGATGGCAGGAATATCCTGAAAATGATGAAAACTACCTTCCCCTCACTGAGGATGAGCTCAAAGAGTTCCAGATTAAATCAGAGCAGGTATGTTTACACCTCTTGCCACTTGTGACTGCTCTTCTTCCTCCTCATGCACAAGTCTTCTGTGGGGTCATTCTTAAGGATGCTCAAGGAAGGCAAAGAGTTGAAGTGAGACTGTAGTAGAATTGATGGCTCTGCATTATCCAAGCAGAGTGTGTGTGTATACACAGTTAAATACGTAATTTGTGTCCGTGCATGGTTAGGGACAGTTACTGCCCACAACTTTACTTGTTTTAAAACTTGCTTTCATTCCTACAGCGAAGAAGAAATGGATTTGGGAAGAATGGATTTCTTCAGGGCCGCGGCTCCAGCCTGTTGTTCCACTGGAGAAGCACTTTTAAGACAAAGATTGAGGACTCAGACACAGAAACTAGTAGCAGCGAAACGTCAGATGACGATGCCTGAAACTGGGCACAATAAAATTAAAATTAATAAAACCAACCCAATAAACTCAGTTCATAGTTCAACACGTGTTTGGGGTTGTATAAACTAAACAGAGTTTATTCTGTCTCCAGTCTGTTCAGTTTTTTCTTTTGTTGTTGATACTTCATGCACAAGGGAAATGATTGTATCCCAAAGAAGAGAGAAATTGGCTTCTTTAGCTTTTTCTTTTGGTTTTGCCCTAATGCTTACTAGAAGTTTGTGCAGCTAGCAAATTTTGACAGAAATCCCTTGTGGGGCAGTGCACAAGTTCAGTCGTGTGAGCAGGACACAAGTGGCTGACTGATCTCTGCAACAACAAGCTTCTAACAGTGCCGCCGCATTGCCCAGTGCCGCGCGGTAACGGTGTGCTAAAACAATCATTGTCGATGACAAAATGGCTTTTGAAGTTCTAATTATGTTAAATTAATGCTAATAACATGGATATTTTATTTTATTTTTTTTTTTGGCGGCTCGGGGAGCTTCATCACTTAACCAGGCGTTTGTGGTTTCCTTTTTTTTTTTTTTTTTTTTTTTGGGTACAGCTGTAAAATATTTGGATATAGGAATTGTTTGTGTTCTTCTTCTTGCAGCCTTGATATTCAGGGTGGATTGTAAAATATAAATTTTTTGTGAGATTTCAAAGATTAAGATTATTTTGATAACATTATTTACAGATTTTAAAAAGTGACTATCACATTGAGTCTGTATGAGGGGGAAAAACTACTGCATCAAAAATAACTAACTTGGAATAAATATTTTGCATCAGTTTGCCAATTCTAATTGTCTTTCTTATGTAAGAAGAGCTTTCCTCTAAGGGACCTGAAACTCTGGGGGTTCAGTAGCACTGGGGATAAACAGTTTCTTCTCCCACTCTATATTTCCACTTGGCAAACATTGCTGTAGCGCTCAGACTGCAGGAGCTGAACTCTTCCTTTAAGAAGGGAGAGGGAGAACAATGCTGAGATGACAGCCCATGCTTGAGGGGTTTTTGTTTTTTTAAGAAAATAATTGAAATTATCTCCTACTAAAGCAGTTTGCTTTTTTTTTTTTCCGCTTCATACAAAATGGTGAAGCTCGACCGGTCGGTGTCACTTGTTCCTAGTGCAATGCTGCTGTTTATGTTCACAACGTGGCAAGGGAATGTCTGAATCCAAAGCTGTTTTCATTGAAATCTTTTTTAAAAATTCATGAAAACATTTCTATTAGATTAAAAAGAATTTTACAAACAACTCAGTTGTGGCCTAAGCTATTTTAGTGTCTGGTGTAAGTTCAGCTTGTGCACAAAGGTTTTGGATTGGAAAGCGCTCGGGTGTCGTGCAGTGTTTGCAAGTGGGTTGGATGGAGTTGCACAGCGAGAGCAAAACCCCCTGGGCCTGCTGAGCTGAGGGGGTTTCACGTGAGGTTGTGCCTGTGTGGTTTTTAGTCCACTCCTGGCCAGGCAGAGAGGACTGAGGTGTAAGAAAATTGTAATGTTTAGCCATGAATCTTTGTGTCTGGGCTCAGGGGAGCACTGTCGGCATTATCAGGTGTAACTGTGCTGCCTCTACTTTCAGCTCCCACTGCCATGGTGATGCTGCCTCTGCAGGGAACCCCAGGTGAGAGGAGCAGCGGGGCATTTCTTCATCACTGCCTTCTGGAAACTGAGCTCCAGGGGCTGGGTCTGCCTAGGAATGCTTGGGGAAGTGCTGGGACTCCTGTAAGACAGACATTTTACAGCTTGTCTCATTCTTTTTGAATGTCCTTGTGCTTTGGTCCCATCAAACATGGCTTTTGGCTGGAGAAGTCCATCCATTTTTTTAAAAATTTAACTTCCTACATCCATTTAAATCAAATTATGCAGATCTGTTGTGTGCACTGTTGGCAAGAAATGGGGTAAGTTTAAAAAACCCTTCACCCTAAATCCGTGCTAACAGCCACTTGGAACAGAGGAACTGGATTGCTGAGGAATCCCTGTCTGGACTGTGGGACCAGTGGGGGCCTGTGTGTGTGTGTGTGCTGGGAGCTCCTTGTTCCGTGCCAGAGTGACTCCTCTGCCCTAACCCCTCCTGTGGATTTAAGTATCCATGACATTCTGGAAGTGTCAGTGTCAGCCTCTGGGTGAGCCTGATCGAGCAAATCCCCGTGCAACAACCGGCAGCTTTTTCCTGAGGAGTCCCTGACCAGGATCACTGTCAGTGAGGTTGGGGGGGACCTGCAGCAGCCTGGGAAGAGCCCGTGGGTGCTCTGCAAGGACAGGTGGGTGCAAGGATGGAAGGAGGGGAGCTTGTTTTGGGAACAAGGGCAGGGCCTGGACACCTGCGGCATGGAGAAGGGGCAGAAGGAGGTGTTTCACCTCTGCAAAGTTTCCTCCTCGAATCCTGTGGTGCACGGGTGGGAGCTGCTGCAAGGTGGAAAAGGAGCACCCCCGGGACACCCCGGAGCAGCAAAGGTTTTGTAACCAGGGGAGGGGGAGCTCTGCGGGACCTCCCTCATCTTGCTTTTTGTGGATTGCTCAGGTGCCCAAAGGACGTTTTTTTCCCGTTCCGGTGCCCGTGGCAAACAGCAGGAATGGCCCAGGCCGGAGGTGCGGCCGCCCTCCCTGCCCTGCCCAGCGTCCAGCATAGCAACAGCGGCTCAAACACCGCCAGCACCGCCGCCGGCAGGTCTGTGCCCGCACCCAGCCCTCTCCCTGGCAGGGTGGCCCCCCCAGTGACCCCCACCCGCTCTGCTTTCCAGGGTGCCGGACATGGGGAGCTTCCCGTGCCCCCGCTGCCGCATGGCGTTCAGCTCCCGGCAGCTCCTGCGGGCGCACCAGGAGAAGCTGTGCCTCGGGATCCCGGAGCCCGCCAGCTCCTGCCTCCATGGGGGGAACCCTCTGCCTGCGGAGGGGGCGCCGGGCACGGCAGGGAGGCCACAGGACACCTCGGTAGTGCGGAGCTGGGTCTGTCACAGAACAGGGAGGGGCAGGAGGGATGGGGATAGGGACAGGGACAGGTGCTGGGCTGGGAAACAGCATCTCTGCCAGCATTGCTGGATCCAGCTTGGCCTGAGCTGGGAGGGCAAACCTCTGCCCTCCCACTCCTGCACCACACCGGCAGCCTTTGGTGATTATTTTACCAAAGGCAGAAAAGTATATTAGTAAGTGGGGGGGATTTTTTTTCACCCTTTCCTTCCTATTTGTGTCTGCGAGGTCGGGGTGTCCCTGCATGGAGACGGCCCTGAGCCACACCATCGCCTTGAGCTCCCCAGGGTCTCAGCGGCTGTGTGGGGACAGCGGGGACGGGGGTGGGCACGGGGGGCTCCCCTGGGGGCCGTGCTCACCCCTCGTGAGCGGGCCCTGCTCCGCACGGCCGATCCTGCTTCCAGGACACCCACAGTGCAGGTACAGTGAACCCCCTGCCCCTGTGGGCACCAACACCCCGGCGGCTCCCCACACCCCATGGCTTTTGGTGGTCCAGCCCCTCCTGCCCGCTGAACCCCCTGTGCAGCAGGGAGAGCCCCCCCAGCAGCCGGTCCTGCCCCAGGGGCAGCAGCAGCCGCCACAGGAGCTGCTGGAGGCCCACAAACGCCAAATGGCCGAGATCCAGGCCAGGACCCAGCAGCTGGAGCAGCAGAGGGAAGGTAGGCACTGGCAGTGGTTTAGGGGTGACGGGGGGCACGTGTGGGGTGCAGCACCCCTCAGGGAGTGGGGCTGTGGGGGCCCTGCTGAGCCCCCCTGTCCCCTCACCTTCCCGCAGGGCTGTGCCGGCAGCTGGCAGCACTGGGGGCTGGAGGGGCTGGGGGGCCTCAGCCCGAGCAGGGGGAGCTGGGGCTGGGCCAGGTCCTGAAGGCCCCAAAGGAGCAGCTCAGACAAGTGCAAGCGGCACAGCACAGGTGAGCCCCAGCTCTGCCACCTCTGGGGGAGAGCCCAGTGGGGTGCTCTCCATCAAGGAGCCTTTGGTCTCCTCACCCCCCATTTGCCCGTTTCCTCCCCAGGGCCACCCTCCACCTCGACACCCTCCTGCCACCCTCGGGGCCACTCGCTGCTGAGGCCAGGTGAGGGGCTGTGGGCCATGGCAGGTCCAGCAGAGTGTCCCGCTGAGCCCAGCGATGGCTGATCCGGGGCTCTGGCAGGGCACTGCGACTGTCCTACCTGCGCGCCGGGGGACACGACCCGGCCATCCTGGACCAGCTGCTCCACCTCCAGCTGGAGGCCACGGTGCTGGAGAAAGGAACCGCAGGGCTGCGCAGGGGCAGGAGGATGGGTAAGGCCCAACCCCAGCCCCGTCTCCCTGCAGGGACTGTGACTCCACAGCCAGCACCTGAGGCATTCCCGGCTGTGCCAGCAGAGCCCCCTGGCACTGGCACACAGGGTCTGGATGCAGCACTGTTGGCTGTGGAGCTGGAAAACTGGCGACTGGAAGATGAAGTGTTGGCGCTGAAGGTCAGGAGAGAGAGGAGAGCTGACGCTGGTAGGTGATGGGTCCTGGGGAAGGGGGTCCCCCATCTGCACCCCACAGCCCCCGACTGCCTCTGGGGCTGTAGGATTGGAGCCTCTGGGCTAGATATGACTCATGGAAATATGGGGAAGTTGGGGGGGCTGCAGCTGCACAGCCCGGGGTGGGGTGTCTGCACTGAGAAGGGAGAGTCCCGACTCCCCCAGATCCTGAACACTTGCCCAGCGACATGCTGGGAAAGGGTTGCTGGGGAAGCGTAAACCCCACAGCAAGGAGTTCCTGTCCCCAGGCTCGAGGGCGGCCCAGCGGCACTCGGAGGAGCTGGCCCAGCTCCAGGCAGAGGTGGGGATGCTGCGATGCCACGCGGAGCAGGCGGGGCCACGGCTGCCCCCACCCATCCTCCCACCTGCTGTGGCCCCCTCACTGCCACCAGCCCTGGCTGTGCCAGAACTTTTTATGGTAAGAGCCTTGGCCCAAGGCAGTCTCTAGCTCTCCAGGGAGGGGAGAAGGGAGATGGGAGAAGGGCTGCCAACTGGCATAGGATGACAGATGTGGAGGTACAAGCTTGGGAAGATTTGGGAACAGCTGCCTTGGCTGCAGCTGGGGATTAGGGCCCCTGGGGCAGGCGAGTCCCTTCCCAGTGAGGGAGCAGGGGTGTAATTTGCTCTGCACACCCAATGCTGTGACAGAATGGCCAGGCAGCTCCTGCCTGTGCCTGTAGCAGGACAGTGTCAGGACCCTCCTGCCCTTGACACAACTTTTTTCATTTCCCAGGAGCCCCCTGGGCCAGCGCTGGGACCAGGCAGCCCCACAGGCCATGTGCCCCACGGCCTCCCCCTCAGCCCCTTTGTGGCCCTGGAGGACCCTCCTCCTGCTCAGGAGCCCCCAGAACAACACAGACCTCCACGAAGGTGAGCCAGGAATGGGCCACACTGCCCTGGCATCCCCTCACCACCCTGGAGTAGGAAATCGGGGCTTTTTTAGCTGTTAGGGTGATGAAAGGATGGCAAAACCTGTGTTTGAACTTCAGTTCAGCAAGATGGGGCTTGGGACTGGCTGTGTAATTGGCACCAGGAACCCAGTGCTGGGGCAGGGGGAAGCATTTGGGATCCCTGCTGGGCATTTTGGCAGCAGGGAGAGGACAGGCAGCATCAGGCTGACCCCTAAGCCAGCAGGCAGAGTTACACAGCTCAGCCTCCACCTCAGGCTCCCTTTGTGCCCCAGGACTGAGCCCACAGCCAGATGAGTATGTTCCATCCTGCTCACAGTGGTGGTTTGGGGACAGGCAGAGAAGCACAATCACATTCCCTTTCCCTATGGCTCAGCTCATTCCATCAGGCACAGCCCCACCAGCAGCCCTTTGTAGGGAAAGCCTGACCAGGAGCAGGCACAGCTCAGCCCTGGCAACCCAGCAAAACCCAGCACCAGCTTTCCTAAGTGTCACAGGCCACGTGCTATATGTTTAATAAATGGCTTCAGCCTATTGCTCTTCACTTCTTGGCCTTTCTCTGTGTGTCCCAGAGCAGGCTCCCCTCCCCACCCGGGAATGTACAGGCACACAGGCTGCCCCAGGGGACAGCCATGCCCTGCCTGGAACCACCACTGCCCTCCATCTCCACAAGCTCTCCCTGCACAGAGGGGCAGAGCTAAAAATACATATCCAACAATGTCCAGGCTGTTAAAAACCTCTTCATCAGCCTTCCCCCCACTCTTTAGGCTGCTCGAGGCTGAGGGAGGCACCCCCAGAACCCACAGCAGGCTTAGCTGAGACTGAACCCCAGCACAGCCCCAGCTGTGACCACAGAGCTGGTGCCCCAAGAGAAGGAAAAAAAGTCCCATCTAGACTGTCCCTGGACAAGACCACAGTGAATTTCATTCCCTGCTCTTCTTCCCCTGAAGCAGCCAGCTCTGCCTGCCCAATCCCACTCCCTTCTCCTGCCTCATGAAGCAGATGTGGATGGAAATGCTGAAGCTCAAAGGACCAAGAGCCCAGCACTGGGCCAGAGCTGAGACTTGCACCCCAGGGGAACAGGCAGGAGCAGTGGCTGGAACCTGGCACGGGAGGAAGGTCAAGACAGGGACTATTTGCTTACAATCTTTATTGAAGTCATACAAAAGTTGCCAAAAAGTGAAAAAATACACTATATACAAAACCATTTTCCTTGTAAGGAGAGGAGTGTCCAAGGTTAAAGAATTATCATACTGTGCTTTCAACTGCAGCCCCTGATTCTGCTTGTGGCCTTTTCTCTGTCTAAAAGAGAAGAGAAGGGTTTGTTTTAAAAAAACCAAGACACTGCCTTACAGCACCAACTCATGCAGCAGCCCAAGGGTTCTGTAATTTGAAGATTTAACTGACTACATGAGCTTTGCTTGTCTCCAGAGCCCAACACTACCCTACAGCACTGACATGAACAAGTGCAGCCCAGGGGTGGGTAATAAAACCCAGGAGTATGAAGAACTGGGGGAAGACCCGGTGCTGGACTTTAGCCCAGCTCAAACTCCCAGACCCCATCTCTGTCCCACCCCAGAGGTGACAAGGCTCCACAGCTGGGTCCATCCAGCCCACACAGGGTCAGGCACCACAGTACAACATGCATCCTGCCCACTGGGAATATTCCTCATCCCATCTGGGAAGCCCTGTGGAGGCCAGCAGGCAATAAAACCTGCACATCTACCAGGCAAAAGAACCATCCCTGAACAGAGTGGGGGAAAATGAAATAAAGAGCACAGCCCAGACTCCTGGCTCAGCTGCCCACCTCCTCTTCCATTTTTTCTGCAACCTCATTTCCACTGGGGGCAGGATCCCCACCACCACCATTGACAGCCGGTTCTGGTTTAGATTTCTTGGCTTCATTGTCTCCCTGATGAGTCTCCTCCTCTGGTTTCCTCTGAAGACAAAATTGTTTATAGTCTTCAGTAAGTACAAATTAAAGCCTTAATCTTTTTGACAAAACTTAGCATTAGAGGTTACTGCACATTATCTACCCAAGCTGTGCTTGCCAGGCTCAGGACAGACACCTCAGTGCCAGGGTTTAACAGAGCTCTGAGGCTCTGGCTCCAAGGTCTCAACCACAGCAATCTCCAGTGAGACACTGTTTGGGTGCCAGAATCTCTAGTGCTGAACTATCCTTGATTACACTCTGGCAAGGAAATGCAACCACTGAGCCCAGTAACAGTTCCAGGGTAGGTTCAGGGCATCTACAACACTTGAAATCACCCATGTAAAGCAGCTCCAAGTCACTCCAGGCACACCTGAACTCACAAAAGCCAGTGGAACAGAGGCCAGGCTGTGCCATGGCCACAGGCAACATTAAAAACTAAAGTTCCTACAGGGGATACTCTCAGTTATATCAACACTTCCAGAGAACACACACACCTTTAAAGGAACAGAGTGCTCAACATCTCATCTCCATTTTATCATTACCATTGCTCTGGCTTTGCTATTTATTAAGCCCAAGTCTCCATTTCCTTTTGGAAGAAGGGAACCCAGCCCAGCCTGGTTGCCTGCCCTTTCTCCTTGAGATCTGCAGGTGAGCCTGCAGCTCTTGAGGGTCCTCAGCAGAGGAAGCCCTTGTTCAGAGAGCACCTGCAGAAGCCACACAACAGGGTCAGAAGTTACACCATGGTCAGGCTGGTGCTGAACCACCAAGAATGGTCTCCTGGAGGTCAGGGTTCCCAGACTGATTGGCTCCCAGTGGAAAGGAGTTTCATGCACTATTTCTGGTTTTACTTTTAAAGTATTTTCCCATTATACAACTAAGTTAAAAAAAAAGCTCTAAGTCAAGAAATCCAATTACAAAGAGCAAGACAGTGGTACTTGAGCTGCTTGTTCAACAAGTCATTTCTGGACTCACCTTTTTCCTGACTAGGTGAGAGATGTCTGTAACACACTGAGACGCACCATCAGCTGCTTTTCTTACTGGAATCTGTTACAAGACAGACACTGACACATGAGCAACTGTAACCAGTAATCCTTAGAGCAGACAGGAATTAACAACATCCATCTTAAATTAACTTACTGTGGAAACAGAACCGCTGTCTTCACTTTGTGCAAAGCCAGATGTAGTTCCAATCTTAAGAAAAGCAGAAGAAGCAGTGAACAGATTGTGTGCAGACCATTCAAGCAAGCTTAGCAGGAGACAGAAAGCCCAACCCCTTCAAATCCCAGCACTGTACTGTGCACTTCTACACAGGACAGACAACATTTGCTCCACCTTTGCCTGACCCATCATTTCCAGCCCTGATGCATTAAATGCCACAGAAACCTATCAAATCCCCATTTAGTTTGGAACAATTACTGTCAAGGTACTTACTAAATATCCTTTCTTTAGATGTCAGCTGCCTCAGTTTCCTTCTGAGAGTCACAGCCTGTAACACCTGTGAGCAACCACCAGCCCCTGATCAAGTCCAAGCTCCTCCCATGACTGATTTACTTAAAGTTCCACTGGAAGAATGCTGGGTCAAAAGGAAACCACAGGACACACTCACCAGAGTTGCTTTCAGTCCCAACTCGGCCACTCTTGCACTCTTTTGAGACTCCTTTGAATCTTCTATCTTTTCTTTAATTTCAGGAAGCAATCCCTTCAGCTCTTCAATCTCCTTCTCGTCCTCGGGGGACCCACTTTCTGCTTGCTTTATTCTCTCAGTCAGTATGGCTGGGGTGAAACAGTTATCAGGGCAAAACACCTTGAGACAAAGTAACTGTCCAGTTATCAACATCCAGAGTCAACTATCTGCTAACACACACAGTTTCCACGAGGTGTGGTCTGTCTGCCGCCGCCTGCAGACCAGCGAACACCCCAGGGCAGGCAAGGAGCACACCTCAGTTAAACAAAGTCTGCTCTGCCTCGACAAAACTCTGATAGAGCTTTCGAAATCCACTTACTTACCCAGTCTCTTGTCGATGACCTCCATGGACTTGCCGAACTGCAGGACGGCCTCGTCGAAGTCGCTGTTGTAGTGGTAGGCCAGGGCCAGCTGGTAGTGGCTCTCGGCCAGCAGACGGTCGTGAGCCTCCAGGTACTTCTGCTGCAGGGCCAGGCAGGCCTGGAACTCCTCTATAGCCTGTGTGTAGTTTTCTACAGGAGAAAAGCCACAAGGTCTTCACAAAAGACACTAATCATCCAAACGACCCAAGCCCTCAGTGGATCTCTGGTGTTCTGTCACACCCCACACAGTCTGCGGACAGAACATGGCAGCCGCGCTCAGGGCCGAGCTGCTCTGACAGCGCTGCCTCCCCCTCAGGGACCGTCTAGTCCAGTTCCTGAAGTTATCTCATGAGTGTTTTGTCTACTTCCAGCACAGTCAAACCAGGCACTAAATCCTCCTGTTCAACCTCCTACCACAAATTCAATGTAACAGGTCCCAACTGCAACAGGGATCTGGAACCAAGGACAGTCCCCCGCCGCCCTCCCGCCAAGCTCTCCGCTCAAGGTGCTCCAGTGACATAAGACAACCCTTGATTTGTAGCCCCAGCCCAGAAACCTGTTGGATCATTTCCAATGCTTGCCCCAGAGAAGGAGTACACTTGGATTTAACAAGATTAAATTATGTTTTCAAATGAAAGGCAGGTGAAACATCAGAAGGCACAAACCTGGGGCTTGCTTCCCACTCCTTTTTTGTGCTGTGTAACACAAGAGTCTTTCCTCACTATACCTGAGGATTTTGGAAAGTCTAAGTCAACCGTTTTTCATTTGCAGTCTTTATGTTCTGACATGGCACGGTACTGGCACCTCCTATTAATTAAGCTCAGTGACTCTCTGCTTCAGTAAGTCTCTTTTAAGTTCATAGGCAAGGTTTGGTCACTTCAGAAAGTAGAACACATGACTGATTTTGATCTGACAACACATTTATTACTCAAATTTTTTCTTTCACTGCTCTGGAAAAGCACAACTATCCCATTTAAGGCACCAGCTCAGTTCATCCATTGATGCCAAAGCTTCTCACATGGCTGCAACTACCACGATCGGTCTAATTTGTTTTCATTCTGAAAGCCTTAATGCACCTCTGCTCATTTTAAAGTACAAAACAGTGTCAGAAAGTGGAACTGAACACTTTGCACATGAGAATTAACATTACTTACCAGATTCAATGCTAACCTCTCCTAACTTCAGATGAGCTTGAGCTGCATGGAGCTGAGCTTCTTTTGTTTCTTGTCTAAATCAAGAAAAAAAAAATAGTTTCCAAGTCCTGATCAGAATATGGCACATTCACTAAGTGGTTATGCCACTCTCCAATTTACAGAGTTTCTCTGGCACATATCCAAATTAAAACTCAAGTCTTTACCTCTTGTAAATGACTTTTGCCAACTCCAGCATGTCCCAGGCTAGCTCAAGGTTTCCAATTTCATCCTCCTCGCTTTCCTGTAAAGACCAGAAGTTCATGAGAGATAAACAGTTTACCACTAGAAGGAAAAGAAGAACAATAATATGTAGAAGAGGTTATTGCATCAATCAAGACTTCGCCTGCAGTGAAGACGGTTCAGTGGAACATAAACTCAGTTTGTTGATATGGCCTCATTAATTTTTTTTCCCCAGAAATATCAGGGCGCCAAGCACCAATATTATCTCAAGAGGAAGATTTTGTTTAAGGTGCTGTTTAGATCTACCTTTTTTTTTTAATGAACCTTTGAACCTTATTAGAGTAGTCTGAGAAAGGGACAGATAATCATTTAAAGAGAGTTATCTAGAATGCTTAGTTTCACACTACGAGGCTTCAGATTTTTCCAGCTGTTTTCACTGCTACATCAATGTACATCTCAGGTTTGAGCAGCACCACGTTTCTCAATCCACTCCCATGCTAATCACAGCTTACTGGAGCAGAAGCATTCAACATGTATAGTGAAAGAACAAAACAAGCAGAGAATAAACTCACAGCTTCAGTGACAGGCTACAGCACTGCCCCTGCACTACCAGGCCACGTTACTCAGCAGACCACAAGAATTTGTTTCAGAGCAGCTGAACAAACCCAAGTTTACAGACACAGCTGAGCAAGATCCCACAATGTGGACTAGGTGCAACACCGGCCCTTCCTTAGGCAATACTGCCTTTCAAAAGTAATTTCCTACATAGGACTAAATAAAACACAGGTGAACTTTTATAACATGATGTTTAGGGTAACACTGCACCCTCCCGTGAGCAGTATCAGAGCTCAGCAACCTCACCTTGTCTTCCACTGTCAATTCATTCTCCTTATCATCTTCAGCTTTATCATTTTCTTTATCCTCCTCCTCAGATTCTTCTGTTTCTACAAGGTAAGTAGACGGATGAGAACACTTGTTGTTACTGTGCTTGCTTGACACGGAGTCAGGCAGAATATATTACACCCAACCCTCATCCTTCCAGTGACAGGTTAGAGGTGTGATGGAAGAAGAGCACAGGTACATTAAATTCTCAGCAGCAGCCATCTTGCTGAAACTGTTCAGCACTGTTGACTAAAGTAGTCTGTCATTTAAACTTCTTACTACCTACAACAGGAACTCACACAGAATTTAGCTCTCACAAATACACCGTGAGCTCCCACTGAACCCACGGGATCCTGAGCAGCCCCGGAGGCACTGGGCAGCTGATGAACTTCATCCTCCATAAAACAAGTATTTTCAGCAAGATAGCTGCCAAGCTGCACACAAATTAGTCTGAGTTCATGTTCTTATGTCAGGGATTTAAGTGACAGTGTTATTAATGAACCTCCTGTTGTGTAGCACTAATTTGACTCCTGACACCCTGCAGGAGCATCACATTACCTATTCTGCCAGCAGAAAACATTTGGGGAAAATGTGCAGTGAAGGAGCATGGCTAATAACTTCAGAGAATTGGCTGATCTGAATGCTGAAGTCACACAATTCCTGTATCACAACCCCTGGCTAATTCCAGAACAACAGGAGCTTGATGGGGTGGGGACTAGAGAGCCTGTGAACTCATTAGTTTAACTCCCAAAAAGCACACACCTACCACTGGCAGGGCCAAACCTGTCAACATGAGGACACCTCCTTCATAAGTGAAACAGAAGAGATGTCAGGACGTTAAAATTTAAGTAGTGGGAGGAGTCTGCAATGACAGCACCAGGCCAGGATGTTCAATAGGTCCTCACACTTAGCAGAATTGGGGGGAAAAAAGCAGCAGTATGTGAACATAGTCAGGCTTTCACAGGACAGTGAGCAGGTAACTACTCCTAGTTTATGTTCAGTCATACTCTCTCCACACAGACACCTTGTTAGGCTGCTGCTCCACCACCGAGTGTTCACTGTGTTTAGCAGAACAAACCCTTTCAGTGTCCAGAATTATTCAGTCTGAACATCTGCCTCTCCTGAAGTAAGGCACATGCTGTGAAGCCAAGTTTCTGACAAGCAAAGTTGCAATTATCAGCTCATCAATTAACTTGTGCAATACAAGGCACCGGCCTGCTAAAGCCACGTACAGTAATACTGCAGCAAAGGGTGCAGGTCCTGCTGGGTTACTCCAACAAAATCCTGAAAACAGCTGTGATAAAGCAGGGAAGCAGAGGGCAGAAGCTAGACAGCTAGCTGGAAGACTGTACTAGAGAGCAGCAACAAGCCTTCAGCAAATCAAGTTTAGATTTGCCAACTAAAGTCTCACTAGCGATGGACCACCAGAAAGACTCAAATGGGGAGTTCCTTCCGTCCCCCAAAACTGAATTCACTGTTTTGTTATGTGTTCAGCTATTCTTGTTTTTTCAGCATAAATAAAATACAGGCATAACCAGAGGCAACTTGTGCTTCAAGTTATTTGGAGGTTAGTGCAATAAACCCAGATGCATGCAAGTGAACATCCATTCAGTATTCTCCACCAGCCTAGCCATTACTTACACATTTCACAGGGCTGTCAGTTTGCTTTTGAGATTCGCTTTGCAGTTAGTTAAGCGTTAGTCTAGAGAAACTGAGACTATTCACTATTCCTTGAAACTTTACTTGGAGGTAAAGTCTTTCAAGAGCCCCTTTACTGTGCCTTTTCCTTATTCTAAGGCAAACAGAAAATTCTGAATGGAACACTTTTTACCCATTGTTAGCCAAATCCATCAAGTCATCCACCCACAAATACTTTTCTCCTCTCAGTGTTACCTTCTCCCTCTTCCATCAGGTCATCTTTCTCTTCTTTTTCTACCTTAGCACCTTCACCCTCTTCCATCAGGTCATCTTTCTCTTCTTTTTCTACCTTAGCACCTTCACCCTCTTCCATCAGGTCATCTTTCTCTTCTTTTTCTACCTTAGCACCTTCACCCTCTTCCATCAGGTCATCTTTCT